GTAGAAACAAAAACATGCAATACATGTACATGTATCATTAACTGAAAATGACTATAAATACACATGTACATGTACATGTATCAATTAATGCACAATGTTATGAAGACAAATTGAGGTAATACTGTCCATGCAGTATAGCTAATAGGAGGAACACATGAAATAAAAGCTAAGATCCCTCCCTCTTTCTCACTCCTCATTATTTCAAGTTTTCTCATTCAATCTATTCTCTCATCAACACGATTATTCTGATACACATGTACATGTACATACATGTATAATGGTACAGTACATGTACATGCATCCATTTCCATTAGTGTATGAATCTGTTTTAATTCCATATTAGGACTTACATGTACATGTATCCTTTTCACAGGCCATGAGATGGACATGATGGTATTACAATCATCATCAAGAACACATCATTTTATAACTGGAGAGAGAGAGAGAGAAGGAAACAGAGGTTGAACAAAGCACAAAATGAGCCACTCATGAAAATAAAATAGTCTAAATTTGAGCACTGAGTATGAGATTATCATCATTTTTGTTATCAATAGGAGAAACTTTATGAGAGAATGGGATGAATTTCTATTTTGTGGGTGTGACCTCAACTAACCACGCCCTGTTGTTGTTTGGGTGGGGCTGGTATTTTGCAAGAATGGCATCTAAAAGTGAGTGCCACTATTCTCTTCTCTTTGTATCTCTTTCATTCATTCTTTGTCTCTCTTACTCTCTCACTTACTTTACTCCTCTGTATCCTGTCCTTATTCTAACTCATCACTATATTACTGTTACTCCGTTACTGGTACCTCTTGTTCTCTATAGACTATCAACCAGTGGAGAGATATGCCCACTCCACAGTAAAGGTAGGAGACTACCTATATATGTGGGGTGGGCTCCCTTTTGGAGACCTTGATAATGATCTTGATAAATCATTGACATTATCTATGGACCTGTATCACTTACCAACTGGTTCATGGGAGGGTAGACCAACAAATGGCAACCCTCCACTACGAGCCAGTGGATGTTCATCTGCTGCTATTGGAAACAACATCTATTTCTTTGGTGGTGATAGGAAAAGAGTCTATCGTAACAGCTTACATTGTTTCAATGTAGATTCATTCAAGTGGAGGGAACTCTCTCCTTCTAGTTCTGATCATGGTCCAATGAATAAGGGCTACTGTGGAATGACATCTGCTCATTTTGATGGTGAAGACTATCTTGTAATAATTGGAGGACAGGGATACTCTTCTATCAACACTCCAAAGCAACCTGATGCTCAGTATTCAGCTGGTGGTAGATGTAAGGAGATACATTATTACAGGATTTCATCAGGTCAGTAATTCTCATCATTGATACACAATAGTTGATTAGTATTTCAAACTGAATAATTTATATGAATGTACATAAAACAGATTGTTAATAATTAAGTGTGTTTGTTAGTGTGTCTCTGTGTGTCATGTGTTTGTGTGTGATGGTGACTTGTGTCTATATGTGATGTGTGTGTGTGTGTACTAATACACACATTATGATGTGTCTGTGTATGATAGTGCATATAATGTATGTGAGAATTTATGATTGTATGACGTGTGTATGTGACGTGTATCTATAATGTGCATGTTATGTGTGTGTGAGTATTATCATGTATCTGTGTGTGTGTGATGTTTGTATATGTACATGTATCTATACATAAGCTAATGTGACATAAGTGTGTGTGTGTAGGTTCATGTTATTTATTATCATTTTTAATAAAGTTCTGTATCACATGAGTCACAAATTACCCACATACAATGTTCCATGAGTTTTGTATAATTTTTCATTAACAATCAAAACTGACATGCACCAGAATAGATTAGTAATCTTGAAAACCCCCTGGACCTCTCCTTCATGTGTACAGGTGTGGTGTGTGTATCCATATATGAGTGTTGTTAGAAATAATAGTATTATAATGTACACTTGTCAATCTATCCTAATTATTATTGATATTGTATTTTTAGTTTGTGGTTATCTTATTCATACTTGTGGTTATCGGTGTTATTGCCCTCGCCCACGCCATAGGCGTATAGGCGATGGTACTGCGATCATCCTGTCAGTGTGTGTGTGTGTTCACAAGATGGCGTCTTCTCTGTTTTTAAACCCCTGCTGCTCTTTTCTAAGGTTCTGAGGAGTCCCACTGTCAACTAAAATGCTTGGCAAAAGTTGTTTTTTGTCAGTTTTCTTCTTTATCCGCCTTGTCAGAGGCAGCATGAGCCAGCAATGTTGATAAATGTTGTGTGATTTATAAGCAGCTCTCAGATGACAAAGGTAATAATGCATTAGAACAAATCAGACAATAGATTGAAAGTTTTTATTGATTAATATGTAGGAAAATTGTCTTAAGTTCTTGATTCCCAAGATATGACAGCTCATAAATCACTTACCAGTCTTTTCGCCAAATGCAGATCACGTGAGAATTTATTTTCCCCATGACGTCATAATGGCGGGAAAGTAATGGCTGGCCTTGTGTTGCTTTTTGTGCAATTGATATGATGCTGGATGGTTTATAGTTCTATATAACAGCCTCAAACTGAAAGCAAGGATGTGTAGAATCATTAGGTTAGTTTTTTGGTTGAAAATTTAGCTATACTTTAGCATTAATCCCTGGTGCTTGTAACTAGTCTTTTCTATCTTGCTCTATAACAATAGTGAAACAGACCAGAACAGTTCAATATTAGTGATGCAATTGGCCAATCAATAGATGATCTTGTATGCAAAGATTTTTT